TCGATCGGACTGCTAATAACAAAGTAATCTCTACTGATCACGCTCCGTGGTCCACCCTGTATATCGGGGTTCCTACGACATCGTGAATATTGACAGAGGGTGTCTCTCGTTAAAACTTATAATTCAATGACAATTCGACAGCCTGAGTAAATAAAAAGAAAAAAAATTAAGTTACGCGGGAGATAGAAAAAAAAAGCCACAACCATCAATGACGCATAGCAACGTCAAAGATTTCGTGGAAGGGCACAAGAGATAAGTTGGTAACCGTGGATTTATTATCCTAATTAACCACGTTCGACGATTTCGCGGGGATTGTAAATTGAATTTAAATATCCGTAATACGATCGCTCTTCGTTCAAGCCGCAAACTTCCAAAATTCAATTGGATCCTCTCTGAACGTTCAAACAGAAGAGTCACCGTAGGAAGTCGAGTCAGATTAAATACAAAGTACAAATTACCTAGGGAATTTTATTCCCTACACAGTTAAAGCGCAACCGTGTATCCTGATACCATCCTCCAAATCCTGGTGTGAAATTCTCATCAGGATAAAAGATTTTAAAAAATGACGTCCAAGTGATCCACGTCCGAAATCAAATCTAACGGTGCAATCGAAATATAATTCAGTATCAGAGTACCAGGTTACAAATCAGTTGTCCAACAGAAGAAAAAAAAAAAGACTCACCAAAGCTGATCAAACCGCTATTCAACATCGATAGTTTAATTTGACTGGGTATAGAGGCCAAACTGTGTCCAGGATTGAGATGACGCTTCCTTGGTGGTTTTTCCGGTGCACGTGGTGCGCTCCTGCTTCTGTGATGATGATGCTTCCGGTGGGAATGAGAGTGCGAGTGCGTGTGAGAGGTGGCAGCGGTTGTCGAGGTGGCTACGGTCCTGTCGGAACCGACGCTGCTGAGGGCACCGGTCGTCGCCGACGCTGCCGACGCCAAACCGCCCCCAGTGGATTGTGTACGAAGAGACGACATTTTTTAATCTGAAAATACAAGCATTTATTTTTATTTCAATAATCATTCAACGTCATCCCTCTACATCCTGTTGATAGATTCATAGTCAATCACCGTGCGCATAATAAAATAATAGTATACTATATACCGGATAACAGAGGTACAGCGTGTGATTCGAGAGAAATGTTCAATTGTATTTCGCAGCCACCATCGATAATTGGTGTGATTGCTTATTGCTATTGTCAAGCCCTCTCGTGATGGTCGCCCTTTCCCTTTCATTAGAGTTCCTGTATCACATTCGCAGTATCCATTATTGTATTGGCCGAGGCACTCGAGGTGCTTCTAAAATGAGCTTTAGTTTTTGAGTGACTCGACGGGCTGCGCGCGTAGCAAAGAATAGAGGCGAGGTGCCTAAGCCAGCTGGCAACGTAAACCAGCTCTCTCTGTCTCTCTTGTTCCTTCTTACTCTCTCACTTTCTCTCTTTCACTCAACAAATCTGCATGCCCACGAAGGCACGCACTTATTATAAGAACCATGTGTACGTACAGTCCAGATAGACTTCAATTTCCAAGGATTCCAAACGTCCACCAGTGCAAGTAAGACTTGCGGCAATATAAATTCCAAATTTGAAAAAAAAAAATGAATTATCAAGCCACGATCAAAATTGAGATCTAGAAATCAATTGCTTCATTTATAATTTACGGTGTTGTCGCATATAATATAAATCTGGTGAAGAACCGGAAACATCACTGAGAGAGAAGCAAGATAAAGGTGGCACGGAGACTAAATGTTAGAAAAAACAATTTATTTCCCATGACTTGTCAAATCGGATGTATAATGTCTTCCTCTGGAGTTTACAGTGCGAAAGAAGGAATCCGGTGGCGGTAATGAGATATCCATATGGCCGGTAATCGCTGACTCCAAAGTCGACGCAAGCCTTTAAATACTACAGAATTGTAAAGTTCGAGACTCAATCAAGCCTTTTTAATAATTGTCATGTTAGTTACCTTTTTTATACGTTAAGTCGTTGTCCAGGTAATTTCTATCGCTTAGACTCACTGACAATCTTTGCAATTGCACGTTATACGTGGAGGCCGCGAAACACGTGTAACTGACACCATAAACAGAAAGAAGGTAGAAGAGAATGGAGAAAGAGGTGGGGGAGGGGGGAGAAAGAGAGAGAGAGAGAGAGAGAGAGAGAGAGAGAGAGAGAGAGAGAGTAAGAGAGGAGGACCAATCAGACAGCGTTAAACAATTATCGACGCGTCGTCAAACGATTCTGATATAAACAAAAACAAGAAACTTTAGATGAAACTTAAAGGAAAAAATTGGGTTCGCTTCTTTGACGGCTGTGTGAACGCACCTTTATACACTGATATTAAACTGTCCGTGATTCCAACATCCTTTGTCATTAAGTTTAAGAGTGTCAAAGTCGGCACGCACAGATTCTTTTAAACGATATTAGACACTTTCGCAAAAGCGGAAGTGAATGAGATTCCGGATGTTTTATATACCGGAAGTCCCGCGGAAACTATCGGTAAGGTTACCGGTATGCGAGTATGTTGATATACGGAGGATGGTTGGTATAAACCGGAAACACACTGTCCGATGACACTGGGCGTCGCTCGCCGTGACAAATCACGCTCTTTGGTCGTTCGCGTAATTTAGCAAGTCGAGTGGGCGGATTGAAGCGACGTTAAAAATATTGGCAAATTCATAAGGAAAAAAGAAAAGAAAAAAATAAGATAGATCCTCACGGAAGATTTATAATAATTGTCCGTTACGAGATGGCACTGGGTGCGACATGTGTGGTAGAGTGAAAAATAAAAAAATAAAATAGTCACCGGCGTCTTTTTTTACGAACGTGTAAAGAAAGTGCGGTGAGATATTGCGTGCCCGCCCGTCGACGCGTCGCGACGTCTATACCGACGACATGTACAATCGTGTGGTTCGTGGGAGACTGGCTCGGCAGGGCTGTGATATTCGGCGGTAGCGTCGAGTCAAGTCGGGGATGATCGGACGGCCGGTATGGAGAGTAGTGGGGAGGACGACGCCGACGGCGACGCTTTGCGAGGGCGTGGTCCTTCCTCTTCTCCTGGGGTGCACCCTATATCGCCGACGCTCGGCGTCTTACATCTCAGACCCCCTTTTGCACCCACTATCAGGTACTTTTATCGGGAACGCTATGATAACGAGGCGTCGCGACGCCGGCTGGTCGCTGATTGAAAATCAGCTGAGCCTCCCTCTCTTTTACCACAGGTGAAGGACCTCACGAGTACCTTTATTAAATATGGGAACTCTTATTAATTCTTTATGGAAGATGCTGCTGCCTGACCTCCTGAATTGCGTCTTCCAGGACCTTCGATCTTTGACCAAGCCAGTACGTCCATCCGCGTTACTCCAAGGTATCCTGAATTCCCATAATCGATCTTCCTGGAGCATCCTCGTGGGGCAACAACGAACGAAACTGATCCAGGACATAAAGACGTCAAACTGCCAAGAAATTAAATGGCTCAAAGGAGTAATAGGAGCTCACGTAGAGGAGGGCGAAGCAGTCAAGGATAAAGTAATTCGGTTTTACTCGTCTCACCAGGAATCGATACGACGTCTTCCACTCCAGATCCACAGTCGCTGTTACGCGAATGCCAGCGATGCTAGAATCTCCACGAGGTTGGGGACTGGGGACTGGACTTAATCAAGGACTATTAAGGGCACCCCGTGGGTGAGCTTATTGGAGATCGTCAAATTAATTGCATCATCCTCGAGATTAGCCTCCAGGTCACCCTTACTGTATTAGTAACGTAACGATGAAAATGACATATTCTATGTTCTCAAAGGGATACGAATAAATATAACCTCTCTTGCCCTGTTATCCACGCCATCCTGATCTTCCTCTACGCTTCCACTATTGCGGCACGACATCCTGGTGACACGAGCATCGGGACGTCGCGATGCTGACCCAATTGGAAGCGGCAAGACGAGAGGGCATCGTAATAAGCGTCGAGGTGACATGCCTGACGGTCCACGTCGGGCAAGGTTAAGCGGCGACCCTCGGCACTTATAAATAACTGCCAGCGATCCAACTGGCGTTCCGACGCCTAGAACGTGATCTTTTCCCCGGTATAGGACGATGGCTGTCCATTATGGGATAATACGACACGTTATAGCGCTGCATGAAAAAGAAAAGTGACTAAATAACTCAAATGATAATGAATCTATCGATAAAAATTCCAGCTTTGGTGTAACCTAACCTTTTCTTTTCTTATCCGCCAATCACTGCCTGACCGACGAGTCAATGAACCGTTGACACTGAAAAACATTTGAAATAAGTAACTGAAGAAAAAGTCGAATCTAAAAAAAATATAAATAATTCATTTCTCATTTCTTACGTCGGAATTCTCTTCGACTAATTCTATATTAAGATACTTCTGTTAATACAGTCAGGCTTCTAAGTACCGTACAAGTACCTGTTATATTAGGAGCATCCGGTATCTTTCTCTGGTCGCGTTTATCGGGTCAATGGGAATTTTCCTCGTAGCTGAGAGAAGATTACGAAAATGAAAAATAAAGACAGAAATCTTGCGCCGGGAGGAAAAAGCATGAAAGAAATAGAAACAAATGAGCGTTCTTTGAACAGCGTGGGAGGGTTTACGTGCGTAAGTACTGGTACAAATATACGATGCGAAGACGACGTTGGAAGTTCGCGCGTTATTGGCGGGTCGCCATAAATAAACAAAAAAAAAAAAGATAGATTAACAAACAGAAAGCCAATAAGAATACCCGAAATTCCACGATGTGACGATGTTGCATTAACGCTGCTGAATTAGCCGTTCCTGCCTGCGAGTTCGATAAGTTTGTAAAGAAATTCAAACTAGACATACGAGAAACATTTCCAACGCTCTACACAAAAATACTACGCGATACAATACAAATGATAATTAACAAACACCGAACGCGTCTGGTTACAGGATAGAAGGTGGCCGCACTTATCATTCCATCGTGTTACAAATGGTTATATTTTTCCTTGCTTTGTTACAAAATGTGATACTATCGCACGCTACGCTCGTCTCTCTCTCTCTCATTCCCTTGCAAACGCAACGACATCTTGTAAGAGACTTGAGTACTCAATTACAGAGCAATTACCGACCAAACGTATCAAGTCATTCATTCTCATACAATCTTCTTTACCAAGAGATGTTATCTCCACTTTTTGCTACGTCCGCAATTCGAGATAACAAAAAAATGAAAAGCACAAATTCACTGATTCGAAAATGGCAGTGAGTCCTTCGACATGATGCGCTACAAACTTTTATAAACGGATGTACAGATGCTAGAATTAATGAATGCTGCAAACTCGTCTTCACGCTCGAACGAGCAGCGACGATTTTCATCTTTTCGTTTTTTTTTCCTTTTTTTTTGATAACTAATTATAAATTCATCGGGACCCGTTTTAATTACGTACTATGATAAGTTATTAAACGGTACAAGGCTACACGTGCATTTACAGTATATACATTTTCACGGGTCCTTCTTTGAATGCATCACGCAGGAAGATGCTGCGGACAGACATTTAAAAAAAAAAAAAAAAAACTTTAGCTACATCTCTGAGACAACGATAACGATCTGGAGAATAATTAGTAGACAAAGAAATAATTAATAATCATATTTTGAACGAGTCCCCGGACTCCTCATTAAATCCAAATTTCAACACACACACACACACACACACACAAACACGCGCATCTCAGCGGCAATTTAAAGACACACGTTACAGGTATTAAACTCCTAATAATAATAATTATAATAATAATCCCAATAATAATTCCTGCTTCTCTATACGATTCAATATTACGATTAAATGTATACACATATATATATAATATATAATATGTATACGTACGTGTATGTATGGATGTATGTATTTTTATCGTTAGTCATCGTTTCGCATTATTATTATTATTATTTAACCCTATATAGTTATAGTCTAAACCGAACGCAGAACACCCTGAGGACACTGCTAAAAGGGACGCAATTATTGGAGGTTACCTTTCTTTTTATATATATATAATTTAACAAGAGACCTCGAATAGTCAATATAATCGTAACAACGTTCGTTACGTATGTCTAACGTAATAATTTCAATAAAAAAAAAAAAGAAAATGATACGTGCGCGCAATTTTTCGAGCAGAAAAGTAAAAGAGCAACATGCATAGAGGAACTTTGTAGAGGACGCCAAGTTATGGTTACCGAGGACAGATTGGATTCCGATTGGCTTTGGATTGTAGAGTAACCGGCACTCCTGGGTGCGCGAGGGTACTGTACGTCCACGTGGGAAGATCAAAGTTCATTGGAGCAGGGTTAATTATTCGAGCAATTAATTAAAAGAAAATTGGGTCATCAGAGAACAAAAGAACAGAGACTGACGTGTTATTCTTTCTTCCTCTTTTTTTCCCTTTCAACCACTAACAAAAACATAACCACTCCACGTGTGTACAGTACGCGCAAAAAACGCCATGGCGCGGACGGCAATGTGTTAAACTTGAAAAAACAACTTTTTTTTCCGGAAATAGACACGCGCCAAAACTACGTCATGAATTCGGCTTTAATGCACCAACGGTTCAACGATTGGTTGACAGCTGTCAGGATCAAGTGGTACCCTCAGGCCGTACCCTTTGTTACCGACCGAACGAGGTAGTGACAAGAGAAAATTCAAAAAAAATAAACATGCACAAACATTTTTTATGTTCGCTTTGTCGTTACATTCTGATATTATGTTTCCTCAGGATGCTGCGAGAAGGAAGGAAGGGACGGTGGTCTGAGGCTGGCTCGGTTCATGGACACAAAGTGGGCTACCTCGCCTGTGTCTAAGCGCCTTACAATATACGTCATTGATTAATCGACGATTAGTCGTCGATACGTAAAATCAGTAATAAACGATTGATAATTGCCGTCAAGCATCCTTTTTTCGGGGCTTGGAATTCACCGTAAAGAAGTAATGGACAGGACGTAGATGGATAATGGGAAATGGAGGATATCGTAGGAAAGGTAGTGAGGATAAGGGTAGGATCACTGTTATTTACGACTTTTACTTCTTTTTTTTTCTTCTGTTACTATAATTGTCGCTTCACGAAGCATTTAGGCCAGATCAGAGACTTCAACGCGACAGACACAGGCGAGACAATATAATCGATACAGTAAAAATATAATAGCGACAATTCGATCGATTGATAAACTATGAGCGATCAATAATGAAAATTCTCATCTCTCTCTCTCTCTCTCTCTCTCTCTCTCTCTCTTTAGGTACACATCGCTGTGGTTCTTTTTCTCTTGTTCTTTTCTGTTTTTTTTTCGCGTCGCCATAAAAGCTGGTAATAAATGGCGACGATAATCTAAGTTGATTAATAATATTAATATGGTAATAGCTATAATTATTGTAATATAATAATAATCAAATATAATAATAATAATAATAATAATAATAATAATATTAATAATAGTAAACTCCTGTTAAAAACGAGTCGCGACAACCACTATACTGGTAATGAGCACACCATTCTCCTGCGGTATTAAGGAGGTCCTATCGATGCATGCTAGTCAACTGATCAACTATTGAATCAATTTCATAAATCGATTAAAACCAACCGAACTTTATACAAAATTATTCACATTAAATATAGAAATTTGTTTGTAGGCTTTTATCTTTGTGAAATTAGCTCATTTGTACAAATATATTTAAAAATCATACTCTCATTTGACTTTTATTTATTTGTTTATTGGGTCTCTTCCGGTGAATCAATGGAGATCCGGCAATTTGATTTGCAATTACTCTTTGAAATATCCGGTAAGGTCACTTTTTTATGGTATGTATCGAATCCTGAAGAATTTATGAATCCGTAGTATACCATTTTTACCTTCAAAGTTCACTTTAAATGTTAGTTTCTCATCGAAAGTCGAAATTCAATCTCTGTGACCTTTGAGTCCATGTATAAAGTTTCGTTCTTAATATTGCTTTTCTTAACATTTTCGTCGGTTCAAATTTTGCAATTGAGTTCAGAATTGTTTAGTTTATAACCTATAAAAGTTTGAGACGTGAAAATTCAAGTAGGTAGTTTCGACAGGACCTCCTTAATTAATCGACCGCGATCACCCAACGACACTAACAACAAACGTGAAAAAACACCGTCGATCGGTTAACGTTAATATATATAATATGTATATGTATATATATTAAAGAAAGAAGGTAGGAGGAAGTATATAGCGGAAATATTTACGTGTCACTATGGCGCGCGTTTAAATAAAATCTCATTAACGCCTGCGCAATCGGTGAGCTGCGAATGACGAACGCGATAGAGTAAAAAGTACAAAACGAAACCAAAAAAAAAGAGAGAAAACAGTAGTAGACAAAGAAAAAGAAACGATATAAATAAGATAAAAGAATTTTACGAGACCGTATAAAGTGTCGCAAGGAATCCGTTCTGGTACTTCTAGAAATCGTAATGGCGCCATTGAAGTTCTCTTTAACATAGAGAAACAGTGAATATTTGAATATTTCAATAAAAACGTTCGTTGGCTACGCGGGTAAATGCATTTCCGGTATACAGAACGCTGCCCTGATAGCTGCCGAGTTGATTGCGTATTCGCCAGTCGTGATACCCGGTAGCTACACCTGGCCGTTGACAGATTTCGCGACAGAGCGAATCCTCAACATATTCAATTGTATAGATTAACTTAAACGAATAAAATATCTAATGATTAATAATTGCGAGTTAAATAATTAAAAGTTAATTAATACACAGTCGAGTTATTACAATAGCTGCCATACTTCGTGTAATGTCTGACGGATAATGGACTGTTCTTTTTTTTCTTTTCCTTCTTTCTTTGGGCTACGTTGGAGACGAGAAAACGAAACGGGTTGCGAAAGGGAAATATTGTCTGTACCCTTCGTCACTTCCGGTCGAGATACCAATCACACTACGTGTGTGGGCGTGCGCGTCTGTATATACTTCTCTGCGTATAGTATTTATATTATATACTTGTATCGAACTATGGCTAAAAAGGATTTGAAGATATCAATCTAATGAAACGAAGGAAAAAATTTCTTTATAAACGCAGATTTGTAAAATGCGTCGACCAGAGATGGGCTAGGAATTTTCTAAAATTCGTTTTATCCTCGAGTGCCGTCTGCAACCTCGAATACTAATCGGAAATACGTGAATTGGATCGATAAATCAATCAAATTTCTACTTTGATTATAAAGGCTAATCTCTTCCTCGCGATTGACATTGTCTCTTATCTTTTATGCGACATAAGAATTAACCAATCATCTCTCATTGTAAACACCGCTACCTTTGAGATACATAAAACGGTACATAAGATAATGCGCGAGACGTGGTCGTGAATGTGATCGACCGTACAGTCTGTCCACGCGTGAAATAGCTTTTCAAGAGGGGCAAATTTTTTATGACTTTTAAGCTAAAAGGGTCCCCTGAACTCTTTTACCTGGTGGACCTATACTTTTATCTTTTACGTTTTCCGTTTCTTTTTTCTTCCCCATTTTGTCGAGGATCGAACTGAGCGATGTCAAGATAATAAAAATAATAATATCTATAAGTTACATATACAAAGATTAAGAATCCATCTAAGTTCGACGATAAGACTCAGCTTTTCTCTATTGTCACAGAAGCTGAGACGGTACGGTTGTACGTCACGACGGCAAGCGCCGATTCCCCCATTAACGGCAGTGTTGAACGGAGACAATGACGGAGACGCAAAGCTTCAGAGCTTCTATCTATCTATTGTCACGCCTTTGAATTTGAGTTTTATTCGCGATTCTTTAGTATCGTTCCGTGAAGGTTCTCCGCGGCGACGAGGACGGTGTCGTGACACGTGGGAATCGTCGCGCACCCTCCGGGTCAATGAATAACGACCAAAGACAGAATGACTATGAGGAAAGTATACGCACGGAATAAATTTCGGGTAAGTAGACAACGAACTAGAAGAAGTGCCGATGGCATTATGGAGCAGATATCGTCGATATGGAGATGATAAAAATATAGAAAGACAGAAAATAAAGAAAAATAGTCAAGATCGGTCCTCGACTCGGCTGAGGATGGCTGGATTAATAATATGTCCGGTAATATCGATTAAAAATTTTCTCCTCTCTCAGAATATCTTGCTCCACATCTTCTTCATCTTCTACATAAACTCTCTTCCGGCGTGAGGACGGTTCGTCTGTTGCGGTAGCCGGCCACGACCGCGTCCATTTCCGCTTGGCGTGTGTCTCCGGGTGTTCCTGATCTCCCGGTCAACCTCAAGCTCCTCCAGCTTCATAGTCAATCCCAGCTTCTGCTGGACCGCCAGACGTAGAAGTTGATTAAGAGTCTTCCTGTCATCCTCGGCGACAGCCAGCTGACGCTGAAGCTCATCCACTTGGGTGACGTACTCCTCGCAACGGGCAGCGAACATTGCCCGTAGACCTGGGGAGTGTATGGTTAGCAGGGTTTAACACGAGAGACAGAGATGAGGGTATTAAGAGAAGATAATGAAGGAAAAGAGAGAATAAAGATACATAGACAATGAAAGCATAGGAAGCATGCTGGATCTCCTAGGAAAATTTTTGATCCCAAAATAAACACAAGAAAACATGCAACCAATACCAACCGAAGGGCACGACCACTAGTTAAAAAACTTCCTCAAATTCTTTATCGGCAACCCATTAGCTTTCATCTGGATATATGTAGTTCAGTTTGGGCACCTGAGGCACCTGACTAGCTTTTTATCTCATAAGTTACACAGGATGTTATATTTATATGACCTGTGGCTAATTATCTTCTATATCACCGGACAACATTGTCTTACGCATACGGACAGTCCTACTGCAAAATCTACCATGGCACAGCTTAGTATTAGAATCAGTATATAAGTAAGCACTGTGCGATTAGGATTGTTCATATTAATGCGTTAATCGATGCGTGTTAGTGGAAGAAAAGATCAAGAAAATATAAAAATTACTAAAGAAGCTCTTAAACAATTCTTGGACAATGATATAGAATTGTAAGGTGGGTAATACAGTGGCTAACTAAACGGGGTATCGAAAAGAAAAAAAAAAGGAGAATGACATCAGAAACGCAAAATAATTAAAACAAAATATTAATATATATAACCTACGTAAATCAGATTGACTAATCTAATTACTCATGGCAACAGTAACGTAAGCGCATAACCGGCATGAAGTTTCTTCATGAAATAAATGGAATTAATATTCAATGTACGTGCCTAGTCGTCGCTTTCGTTTCTGCATTCTTTATGCGGCATACGTTGTGTCACAATTCGAGTGCAAACTTAAGAAAATAAAGAGAATAAGGACTTCTAATAAGTATCGCAACTCACTTGAAAACGTTGCAGCATTCTCCTTGAGCATTCTCAACTCGTTCCTAAGCTTCAGCATCGTCTCGCTCACGATACTCTTCTCGTTCTCGTATTTGCTCTTCAAATTATTCAGAGCCACCTCCGCAGTATTCTTATTAGACTTCAATACTGTTCTAAGTGTGGCGACCTGTTCCCTCTTCGCAGAAAGTAGAGCCTTCAGTTTGATCACTTGATCCTGAAGATCAGCAACCTCAGCCTTGTTTTGGTTGGCCGATGCTGAAATAAGATAGAACAATTGATAAACATTTCTTCTTACTTGTGAAATAAGTAACAGTAAATATATACAGTTTAACTCACCCTCGCTGACATTATTTTGCATCCCCTTGATCTTGGAGAACTCAATAGTATGCTCAACAGCACTTCTAAGATGTTTTATCTGATCCATTGCCGTCTCAATGTGCTTACTGATTTCTTTAGCCTTGCTGAGACTCTCCAGATCCTTGATCTGAATGTCACTCTTGAAGATGGTTCTAAACAGCTCAATCTTACCATTCTCTTCCTCTTTATCTGGTACAATCTTCTCATGGTCAAGAACCACTCTGGACGGTGTTTCACCATTTACAGTACAGACATGGTGATAAAGCTGTGCTAATTCATCGGAGATGGTGAGTAGGTCATTCTGCGAGGAGTCTAGGGAGCTGCCAGCCTCTGCAGCTATCTTCGACAAAATCTTCACATCAGATTCCAACTCCATGCTACGCTGTTCAGTATCCAGTAGCTGTAACGAAGGGAAAATATGCCTGGTGAAAATCACTGTATACTCAAGAATCATCCCCAATGCCAACCCAGGGGATGAGTATCAGACTCTTGAACGTTACTGAATGCATGTAACGCAGACTCCATATCAGGGCGCCTTTCGAAAGCACGACTCTTAGCCGCAAGCTGTTCCATTCGCATAGATGGAAGTGTTCTCGACCAGGAGGTACAAGAGGATGACGGATGACGTACAAAAGGAAACAAGGAATATAGTAATCCCGTAGAATCGCGTAATAATGCTTCGTGCAATACAGGCTGCCATCTTAATCTGCCTTATATTTATATTCTTATGACATGCTGCGTTAGAGGCGATTGATTCGTATCATGTCAGAAGAAGAATAATAGGAACATTCCGGGAAGTTTACGAGCTCGTTTTCCCCACTATATAATATAGATCAATATGATGCATGAATGAAAGAAGCCGCTCGCGCGATCCGTACATTTATATAAAACGAAGTAAGAATCCCTATGAAGCAGAATACGTCTGTCGCAAAAGATTTTCGTGCTGCGACTCTCGAACGGCATTCTTGTGCATTTTTATATATTTTTTGTCCTTGTTTAATTGTACGTCGTCAGTGTTTACCTGAGGAATAGTTTCAATGCAAACAGACTAATCCTTATTTAAAAATCGCTTATACAATAGAGAGTAGTACTTTCACGTCACGTAAAACGTTCTGTTAAGTGATATCAAGGATACATAATATAAAGCGGTATTTATAATAGGCGGCTGTTAGGACACTGAAAAGCAACGTGTACGGATCGATTAGAGGAGCCAATAGTAAAAATAAAACGAGTTATTATTAATTTTATATAATAAATACGTAAAAAGGGGGCCACACGCTCCAACCTTTTCTCGAAGGCTCTTCTCGGTGACTGGCATCTGAAACGCCATAATAACTATTCAAATTGTGGATATCTAAGACGGTTGCTCTTTCATTTTTTTTCTTTTACTTTTCAAAAAACCATCCTTGTGCACTAAATATCCCGCTGTTTAGCGTGCTACAAACAGAAGTGGGAATTTGAGATTCTGACCGATTAGAATCCCCATGCTTTCTTTGTTCGGTCGCTGTTGATAAGGATTTGACAGTGGATAACTTTTGAATAATACGTAATAAGAATAGAATCTACCTTGTTTCTCAGGTTCGTTAATTCCGTTCTAAGTTGTTGTGTGGAATCGGACACTGTGAGACCCTTTTCTAGCTCTGACAAATCCTTTTGCAACTGTTCTATTTCCCGTGCTGACATCGTACTCCATTGGTGATATTGTACGACAGCCTGAAATAATAGAATTAGGGTTTGATGAATATCAGATTGAGGTTAGTTTTAAAATTTGTTGTGAATAATGTTTTTGTTTACCTGCGTGAGCTTGTCTAGAGCTATTTCCTCGCTCTGCTTCTCTGGAAGCTTTAAATGTAAGTGATGGAGTGACTGTACATGAGCTGCCAACTGAACTATCCTGGCCATGAAGGATTGCAACTCGCCCTGACTCTTTTCTACAGCGTACTGAGACTCCCTCAGGTTCTGCGTAAGGAGAGCTTTCTCACTTTCAGCTAGTTCCAGCTGCTTCTCCAGTTTCTTTAGTTCATTTAGATGAATTTCGGAGAAGAGGTCCACTTGTTTGCCAGCTGCGGATGTGCCAGGTTCTTGGGTCTTCAGATCTGCCTCAATTCTTCTCAATGCTGGAGAGTCGTCTTCTCCGTCGCTACACATTGCTTGGTCCTCGGTGATGCCGCGAATCGATAGAGCTAAGTTGTAGATAGATTCACTGTTGATTCGCTGATCTAGTTCCTTTCTTAAAGCGTATTTGGCTTCGCGCTCAGCCTGAAGAGATTCCAGGGCTTCTTCCATCTGCTTCTCGGCGATTTTCTTCAAATTTGTTAATTCGTCTACTTGGACATTCAGAACACCCACTTCCTCTGTCAACCTTCGAATCTCATGTTTGTCACCTTCGAGCTCCACCTGACTCGAACGCAATACTGACACCTGCTTTTGCAGGGATATATTCTCATCCTCCAGTTCAGAGTAATCCTGTAGTAGTCTTGTTTCACGAAACTTGCACTCGCGTAATTCTGTGCGTAGCGTTTTACGTTCGGCTTCTGCCTGCCGATGGTCCTTAATGATTTCATCCCGCTCTTGCATTGCATGGTCCCGTTCTGCCTGAACACGCTCCAATTCGTGTCGCAGCTACAGTACATAAAGAACAATGAGAAACTTCCTTAAAATAAAAGAAGATATTACACTAATATGTAGGTACCTGCTTAGTCTCATTTTCTAATTCTACTATCTGGAACTGAAGTGAAGTCTCACGTGCAGCACTTTCATTAAGTAGGCTTTCTTCCTGCTCGATGCCACTCTTCGTAGTGAGCTTTGTGGTCGTTTGAAACTTAGCGAGTGCCTAAGAAGCCGAATAAACAAGTAAAATTAATACAAACATTGAATGTCAAACTCACCTCAGTACTACGTTGCTCCATAATACGTTCTTCTGAAACACTAGAGAACTGATTTCACAGTCTCAAGGGAAACAGAAGGAGCATCTGGTTCTTGTATATACAAAGTCTAAAGACATCTGGTAATACATCTTGTTTATTTTTGCTCTAAACTCGTAGGGTAGATTCAGTAACACAAAGTGGACTAACCTTGAGTTCACAGTATGCACTGCACTCCAACCAAGTAATAAAGACTCAAAATATGATTCTAAGAGGATAAAAAGCTAAATCCAAATTAACCTTCTGAGTGATGTCCAGCTCATGTTTCGTGTTCTCGTAGAGGCGCTCCAAGTCGTTGCATCGTTGCTGAAGGGTAGACTTTTCCTCGAGCAAAGCAAGTCCATACTGTGCCGACTGTATCTTCTCCCTGGAAGTGAGATCAAGTTCCCGGGATAGTCTCTCGACCTCTGTCCTCAGTTCCTCAACCGTACTGGCCCCTTCGATCGTGGCCATTGCTGCGCTCTCCAGAAACGAACCGTCTGGTCCTTTCGTCTTCTTCCTATCTTTATTAGCGTTACCGCGACTCTCTAATTTCCTCACCAGGAAGCGCAGTTACTCGCAGAGGGTGCGGGTACATTATTCGTCAATTCCCCGGCGCCGTCAGTAACGCGTATCCCCTTTACAGGCAGAGGAGTGCCTCACATAGCTCACAAAATTGGACCTCGTGAACTGGACGGTGAAGAAGAGAGGGGGGATACCCTCTGACAGACGTAAAAATAAGGCGAACACGACGATGCAGGCAGAAACACGGATGAAAAATCCGCACGAACCGGATACCCACGTCGATGCCTTGCCGTTCCGCTTTTCAACGGTTCTGTTGTTTCGTGTTCCCACCGTTCACCAGCACCGCTCCAAACCGCTCTTAGCAAACTGCTCACAACTCGCGAGACTCCAATCTCCTAGAATGGAGAAGGACAGTGTCATGCCAGCTTCCAACAACGACGTATCCCTTTCGCTCGATAATCCATTTTACAGTAAATCAATTTTTTGGTATAGGGTATCGTAACGGAAGAGTCCCAGCAAGGTAGACAAGATAATCGTTGCTTTCTGCAAAATTTGAATAAGCTTTCCGCTTCTAAACGCTTCGCAATATTATTTTTGAAGATGAGCCACCGGTAACGTCATCCAGATACATAAGATCTTTTTTTGATACCTTTTTGGACAATGGATGCTTTGTGAAACAGCTAAACTCATTTTGGCAAATCAAGATTATTCATTACGATGATTATTTTGGAGGATGTACTCATATCACAGTTGCGTACCAAAATATTGATGATATACAGCTTGACTCATCAAGCCTGATGAAAACGGAAATACATCTTGCACAATTGGCTTCCGCTTTCTAATGGTCTAAAGGTAAGGGTCGAACGGTTGTTGAGCGCGGGATATTCGAATCGAATCCGTGCGACGAAAACGATAAAAACTGAAAATTATGAGTTGGACATTTACGCTTTTATTAGTAAATAATTGTTCCCTCTCACGCAACTTAAACCATAGATACAGAGGAATACGTTTGGTGTTATTCTACTCTTTTTATTTAATTGCAGGGGTGAAGGTTTAGGGCTGTGATTGACACGTCGTGCTTCCTTAGGCCTTTTTTTGCTTTTGACGTGACGGAAGGGGCACATATGCAGACGCGAAACGAGAGGAAAAAGGCGATGGCTAATGAAGTTCTCTGTTAAACCCAGATGATTATTTCTCTCTTGATATTCATCCTCTCCTCACTTCTTTCATTGCTGTTATTGTGGAAAAAAAGATGAAGGGGGATTTCGTTACGGTAAAATAAAGACGACGGATGATTGCCTCTCCGTACGTATTCTATTTCAAAAATTCAGTTTAAAAACATAACTTTGAATACTCCGTAATCCTTTATTACTTTGTAGCTTATTTTTTCTTCGTCTTCTTTATCAAAGTCTTGCTTTTCTTCGTCTTCTTCAACTTCCTCCTCCTCCTCCTCCTCCTCCTCCTCCTCGCCTTTCTCCTTCTTCCATTTAAAGTATTAATAGATTAGTTTAATATAAGTCGAGCACTGACTGGACCAATATCCAATCAGAATTATCAATACACTGTAACAGTCGTATTCTTTACAATAATCGTACGTAAGTCTTGTAGCAGAGACAAAAGCGCAGGTGCCCCAGTCGCACTCATCTTTATTTCATCCCCCACGCGCCCCACCCCGTACCAACGCACAGTTCACAGAACCTTCGACGCTCCTGCGCCAAATTTGAACAGCCAGAGGACAAGCTCAACGAAACTGTGGCAAATTCAAAATCTTAAAGCGAACGAGGGCTACAAACTACAGATAAAAGTGTCGCTCAGTCACGATGGCAATACGTACATCGTTAAAGTACATGTAGAAAACTATAATAAACTGTGATGATCCTTCGCAATTTAATTAGTAATTAACACCGTCAATTATTTCGCAAGTAGCATCGAAGGCTGTTGTTATATCCAATAAAGCAGAATACAATGGCCTGTTACTTTTTTTCTTTCCCTACATCAATTATGTCTTCCCCGTCTTCTTCTTCATCGTAATTTTCCATCTCTTCCTCCTGCTTCGTTTTTGCCTTATCTATCCTTAGCTTTAACTTTCACCGCATCTCGAATGATCATTCCAGTCTCGTAAAACGCACACTCGGCCTACGACAATAACTCTCATTATTTTTCAAATACCAGGATTCGCAATCATACGCGTGAGATCGGACGTCAAATACATTAAATAGTAATAAGTCGCGAGGATACGTTTTCCGTATTTTTTTTCGTTATCATTTTGTTTCCTCTTCTCTACCCTCTTTTTTTCGTCATCCTCTATTTCTCTTTTAAGTATAACAACAAAGCCGTTGCAGGACACCTGTACTACCGTAGTGTTCATACGCAACAGGGACGCTTCCGTTCTACAGAGTCAGGCACGCCTGGCTACCGAACATTTTTTTTTAAATACACCTTGTCACTGCTGGCAAATCAACCAAACAAAACGAAAACACTGATATTACATCTATGATTTTTGAACTGTCACACGTGCAGCATCAATGTACCAAAAATTGCGAATCTCGATAACTCATAAAACATAACTTCATGATACAAATGACCGACATGTCCAGAGACTATTAAAACTGAACAAATAGCATTCAATTAAACGTGGAATCAATTTTACAAAATAATATGTCTATATAAAAGATTCAAACGCTTCGCAACAAAGTCAGAGCCCAATAGAACAGCAAAGCTATATTTACTTTTCCAATCTTTTAAGAATTCATTATTGTTGTTTGAAAACATGCAATCCCATTCGCAAGTGACAAAAATAGTTTAACAGCAGCGACCAAGAAGTATACCCTATCTTTTTTATACAGTACAAAATACAGTTCCTGCGTATATGTATCTCGATGCGCAATACATGCGCGCGCGCAAATTTTACACCGCAATGGTAGTGTCAGTGCGCGCATATACATATTAAGCAACGAATTATTTACCCAACGTGTAAGGACATAATAAGAGAGAGGGAGGGAGGGAGAGAGAGAGAGAGAGAGAGAGAGAGAGAGAGAGAGAGAGAGAGAGAGAGAGAGAGAGAAATTATATGTACCTATAATTAGTGATATTGACTTTGGAGACTATATGTAGCAAAATTTATGTACCGCTGTCATTAAATGTATAAATGTATATGAATATACATATCTTTTTAGTTTCATATATATGTATATACATACGCATGTACACATAACATACCTACATATCGTCACGGTCAGTGGTAAAAATTAGATTACGATGTACAAGCTTTTTATTAAATCGTTATACTTTAGGTAAATTCCCTCACTCGTTTTATATTTGTCTTCCTTTATCTTGTTTTTCTTTTTCTCATTTAATTTTAACACAAAGTATAGTCGAACAATTATATTTAAAGACATAAACCAAAGGAGCCACCTTGTACTCTAATCACTGTCTCACGTCTTTATCCATTCTTCGTTTATGCACTCTTTACTTTTTTCTCTCCTTATCTCTTCATCCGTTCGCTATCTCACGTTATTTATATCGTTAACGGCACCTCGAACACTAAAGCTTAGGGGGAACACCCCCAATTCTCACGGGATCATTAATACGTTAACGCTCCGACGAGTGTTTCCTTTTAATATTTCACCCTTCCGATTAGCTAATGTAATTATGGTATTGAAACAAAAAACAAAAAATAATAATAATGGGGCAAATTGCAAATCAAGAGCAAAGAAATGCAAAGGGAACTCACGCGCACGCATGATTCTTCCCCCCCCTCCCTTTAAACAAATGATATAAGGATTTTCGCTCGATCCTTGCGCTTATCGTCGTTTAATAGTAACTAAATACGTTCGCTAAAGTCTTTTCTTAATTAGTATGTTTTTTTTCTTTTTCCAAGAGACCGGCAGAGGGCTTAAACATTTTTTTTGTTACTTTACGTGACTTTTGCATTCTTTTACGTTTGTTAGTTCTTTTGTCTTAAGATTCGCGTGAACGTCAATGGTCGCTCCTTGACGGGAAATCCATTGTCTTTGATTACAAGTGGGATAATGAATTAGAAAGAGAAAGAGAGAGAATGTCGTGAAGAAATACCTTACAGAAGATTCGCGAATGTTAATGTGTGTGTTCTGTATGATATATATATATAATAAAAAAAAGAGGAAAGAAATATAAATCAGCCTTAAACGTGATCCTTTATATGTATTTTTCGTTTTTATCGTCTACTACGCCTTATGAAAAAGAAAAAAAAATTGAATATAGAACAGATAACTTTCTCTTCGTTACATTGTCATTCATCGCTAAAAAAACGTTTTATTGTAATTCCTGCCTGAATTGCGTGGAACGGATGGACAAAAAACTGGATCCCACGCATCCTCACGATTCTCCGGCTTTCCGGTTATTATTATCGTTATCCATACGCCACGAAGAACCACGCTTAAAAAAAAAAGCAACTTTTTAAGAGAAGACTGGGCGTTCTTCCCTCTCGTTTCTTTTTTTCTTCCTTTCTTTCTCTTGCCTTCTTGTTCCTCCTCCTCCTTTCACTCCTCTTCTTCTTCTCTCCACCTTCGCGCTCGTGATTTTCGCATCGCTCCGAATTAACGCAGCGAGACAATACAGGAGAATTCGAATGTCCCTGTATTCGCGGGTAATAAAATAATGGGAAAGTATAGGATCCAAGTATCCTGAGGACTGAGAAACTAGACGATTAAACGATACAGTCTAAAGTCAGAAACAGGATAAGGACAATTAGGAGGGACTCGTGTCTATATGTGCTAAGTTCAATTCGAATGTATTATAATATTATTACATCGTAATAGCGTAATGTGTGACCGTGTGTCATTGTCATCCTGATACGAGATTTGATTTACCACGTGTGTGTAATATATGTATGCGTATATGCATTGTGTAATGCAAGTAGTACAACAACGATGTCTCGTCTGTCCCTCATATTCACATGTACACAGCGTCCGTTTTTTTCATCATTTTTGTTTTTCCTTTTCTTGTAAGTATGTCACGTGTTAATGTATGTAATTGTAGTTTTTCTTTCGCGTAACAGCAATAAAAACTTAAAGACGTCATAAGAAAACCCTTGCGAAGAACAACGGTGGGCGGAAGTGACGGGGCTGGGAGGGAGTGAGATTTGGAG